ACCGGCAGCTCAGCTGAGTGGGGAAGCGTAGGAGAGGCCCAAGTGGCTGCTCAGCAGGGACACTGTCCCCAAGGGGCAGCGCTGTGGGCCAGGCCTGGCACTGCTGGCTCCTGGGAGCCAAGGACCTGGGCTCTGCCGCCAGCTGCCGGCGGTGCCTGGCTCCTGTGCAAGGGGCGTGCAGGGTCAGCCCCCCGCACTGCTGTGCCTCCCTGCAGGTGGGCCGGGTGCCTCGCCGCGTGGCTCCCCATGGAACCAGCTTGGCTCTTTCTGCTGGGTGGGTTAGAATGGCAGCGTTGTTCCTAAAAGGGTCTGTGATGCGGGTTGGAGTTTTTGGGCTTTTTTCATCATTAAGTCAGAGTATGACGGTTCTGGGCCTCCCTCCCTCTGGAGGGGATGCAGTGCCAGCCTGCCAGCACGGGGGCCCTTCAGATGTCTGGTCTAGCTGTGACCTGGGCAGTGAGTTGTAGAGGGGATGATACTAACTGAAGCGATGTACTTCCACCTCAAGAATTGTTTGGTATTGCTGTAAGTAATGTAAAGTTCCAAAAACTTACAGAGGGTAGATAAATGTGTTTGACAGCACCTTGTATAGTGCCGATTTTACAGTTGCAGCCCGGGTCTGTTGCTGCCTGTTGAGTTTTGAGCATCTTTAATGTGCAGCAAAGAAAACAAAACTGGCTAACACAAGAAAAACTGGATTATAGAACTCAAACCATATTAATTAACAAAGTAATTAAGTCTGGTTGTAGTCCTGTTTCTAACAAGGGCTGGAGTTCAAGCCAAGTGTCCCTGTATGACAACAGTTTTTCTAAGCAGTCTGTTCTCTGAATATCTTTTCACCAGGACTGACTTACCCATAGGGGAGAGAGATGCATGTGGATTTTATATATTCCTAAACTAGCATTTTAGGAAAGAGTTGAATTCAAGGAATAATAAAGAAGCAAAAAATTGAGTCAAAATCCTGTTTTAAAATTTTACTACATAAAAATGATGTGCATTTCTTTGCAGAAGCCTGGCTGCAAAAGCTGTGTGTGTCGTACCAAGGGCTTGAGCTGAGCAGGAGCTTGTGAACAGCAGTTGCCGAAACGCAAAGAGCAGCCAATGCACTCTGCTCCCTTTGATCAGACAATAAACATGCTTTTCTCTCCTGCGCTTGGGATAATTGGAGGGTCTCGTCAGCACACGTCTCTTGCTTCCTGTGCCCTGCACAGAGTCTCTGCCCAACAAAACATGGGTGCAAACCATAACAACAAATGTCAGCTCTTTGTTGTCGGGCTGCTCTGGGGCCAAGGTCTTACTCAATTCGATAAGGTTAGACTTGGAAGAGCTGCAGTGCTGTGGTTTGCCCCCACCTGGGAGCCGTTAGGTACAAGTTCAGCTGCGCTTCTGTGTAACTTCAGGCCATGCTAAGAGTCTCCTGTTGGGAGCCATCAGTTGGGCGTTAGTGTGGTGGGCTGATCTTACTTCTGCTACCCATCTCCTTGTGTTTGTGTGGTTGTTTCCTCATATTTGACGACAAACATTTTGGGGCAGGGGCGCTTCGAGCTGGCATGATGCAGAGCAAGTGCCTGGCTGCTAATAGAGCGGAGCCCTTTCCCTAGGCCTGATGCTGCCTTGTGCCCACTCCTTGAGTCTACTCAAAGGCAAGATCTGCCTTTCTCTTCCTTCATGTGCCTCTGTGCCTCCAGTGGAGGGACGGGGTCTGTTTCCTTTGCCCTCCATGGGGTGTGCGCCACTGATTCAACTGGACGCAGGATTTCGTTGGAGAGGAACTTTGGCAGAGTGCATTCTTGCAAGCAGCCCTGCTGCTGAAGTCCGCGAGTGACCAGGACTTTCCCCAGCTGCTGGAAGCAGTTTTTTGGCCTGGGAGACAGAATTCCTCAATGGCTTTTCTGTGAAAATAATACTGAGTTTGGGCAGTTCCTGTGCTCTGTCCACACGGACCCCTTCTCACAGCTTGCCCCACTGTGCCCTTGCGTGTAGGGTGGTAATGAGAGCCTCAAAGTGCTGACTTTTCCAACCCATTGTTTGGAGACCATAACCAAAGTTGCTGTTTCCTCATTAGGATAGCCTTTGTCAGAGCATCTTTAATCAATGGACTCCCGAGGGACAGTGGTTTTAGAACTTCTTTTTATACCTCCTCTTGGAAGTTCTTTGCACTGCACCTTGTGAAGAAACTAATGAGATGCTGTGAGAGTTCGGGCTACCGTTAATTAGAAGAGGTCTGAGGAAGAAGTACTGCACATATATTAACTTTATCTTGGCTCACATGTCTGCTCTCTCCCTCTGTCTCTTCTTTCCAGGTTGCACAAACAGCAGAAGGCTTGGATGCTGACCTCTGGAAAGATGGCTTATTTAAATCCAAGGTCACACGATACCTGTGCTTCACGAGATCATTTTCAAAAGAAAATGTAAGTCCGTTTGCTGAGCGTCTGCATGATTTGCATCTGTACCTGGTATGCCTTTACCAATAAGATGATTCATTTTATGGAGCCAATTATAATTCAAGCAGGCATTTCACTGAGTTCGGGTGAGTCAGGAGGCAAACTGCAATGTCTGGATATTTGCATTTTGTCCGTGTTCTTCACGGAAAGAAATTGCTGGCAAAATCTGCCATAAAAGCAGCAGAAAAGGAAATGCTCGCACTTCAGCAACACCCTCACAGCAGCGTTTCCTGCTGTAGCAGTGGCACTGTGTGCTCACCACCCTGATGAATTCCTGGCTCTAATTGCCTAGAGAGGCGAATGCTGTAGGTAGGGGTGATGAAGGAGGTGTTAGTTTCTGAATCCAGGGGCATCATAGATATTTTCTTGCAGGACTGGCTTTTCTTTGGTTTTGGTGCTGGTTCTTGAAAATTGTCCATGTGTGTATGCTACTGTATTCTTGTAATCTTTTCATATGGCTGTTACATGTAGGTGAATTGCTGATCAGTGGCACTTGTCTGCCCCCATCTCCTGGGGAGGGGAGGAGACCATGTGAGAGCCTGATGCCTGCTACTGTGGTTTTGGTTGAGGCTGGTGTGGAAACTTCCTCTTTTTCTGGAGGAACTGTTTAATTCTGCAATGAATGCACTCCATCTAGTGGGTAATCCTGCTTTTCCTTGTGTTTTGGATATTCACAGTGACTCAGTTGTCAGGGTATGGAGATACCATTTTGTGCTTGTGCTTTCACCAGCGGCAGGAACAGAAAAGTGAGTGCGACTCTGGAGGCTGATCACGGGTCCTGACAGGAAAGCCAGGGGCTTCCAGCATTTGACCTTTATTCCGTCCGCTTCCCTGCCTGCCTCTAGATTAAAATAAAGCTGCAGAGCTATGGGAGATATTGCTTCCTGGGGTGAATGGACAATAATTGTCCTTTTCATCCTGCAGTACATGCGGTAGCAGGAATAATAGCCCCAGAAAAGGCAGGAAGGTTACTAAACAGAAAGATTTGTGATGAATTGAGCATTAAGTTTATCTGTGGCTACCTTAAATGTGAGGTTGTCAGAAATAATTACAGGACAGTAGCAACTGCTGGCTACCAGAGACGGTGTAAATACCCTCTGTCAGTGCCTGTTGGGTTTTTGGCACAAATCCTGTGCTCGGCACAGTCTGGGAATACGTCCCTCCCTGAAGAGGAGTGAATTAAAGGGAGTGTGGCGGGAGGACTGCCGATCCTGGTGCGCAGCAGCCCGGTGTGCGAGGTGCGACACGAGCGGCCATGTCCCGCGCACGGGTTGCCT